TTTAACCACACCATTTACAAGCTCAAGTTTACAGCAAAAATTTACTCATTTAAATTTTTATTTTCAACAAAACGCTTTTTTTCTTCACACCAAATTTATTTCACGGTGGGGATTGCTGGTTTATACAAGACATTTGCCTCCTTTAATACTAACATATTCTTACCTCATCTAAAAGTTTAATCCAAACAAATTGGTTTATTTAAATTTGTTAAACCCCCTATTTATTAAATTGTTTTCTACTTCTTTGATAACGATGATTTTTTTAATTGGATGCTAGGAGGACAATTTAAATGGGACGGCCGCCTCAGTTGATGGTGCAACAAAGGGAAACCTGAACAAACTGGTTGAAATTGGCCAAAGCTTATTGATGAAACCAGTTTCAAGGGTCAACTTAGATTCTGGTCTATTTGAGCCAATTGAAAACGGTGGAACAAATGAGGATGCTTTGAAAAAGTATGCATAATCATTAAGAAAAAATTAAATTACTACTATTTCGCATATTTGTAATTCATTTATATTCATGTTAAAAATTGTCCTATTCATTTTGTCTTACAGGTTTGCAAAATTGCTTTCAGAAGAAAAAAGGTTTAGGGAAGCAAAGTCACCTTTCAGCAAGAAAACGTCCACCTAGCTAAATTATTCAACTTTGGGATTATTTATCTTCGACAATTAATATATTGATTAATAATTATTAAGTTCGACAGAGATTGTTGCATCGTTGCTTGAATTCTAAAATATCTATTAAGTGGATTGTAATTTAATTTATTCTTTATCCATTAGAAAGTGTGTATTTGGATAATCATGTAATATTTATCTTGTAATAATTATATATACATACCCAATAAAATGAAAATGATAAGATGCTTATATGTTTAAATATGTAGACAAAATTGATGTGAAAATAAATTTTCCAATTATTTTAATGGTTTTTATAATTATAAATTGGAAGATTTGGTCAACCAAAGTTTTTTGCATAAAAGACCCCAACTTAATGTTAAAAGTTTTAAAGCCTGTACTCTACTTTGTTATTATTTATATGTTAAAAGTCCGAAATTATCTTTTACATGAATGCGCAAAATGTCTGCATTGAAATCCCAAATTCCCCTATATTCATTAACTATTTCGTTCATTCTTACCCAATATATATGTTGGGCTGTGATGCCATTTGATCCAGTCCAACTGTTAGGCAATGATGAAAAAGCACAAATATGGATTTAATACTTGGTCCATTAATTATATACCTAGAAGGCCCACTTAACCGAGCCCAATACCTAGCCCACACATCTTAGTCGCTCTTGGACCGTTGGATTGACCCGCTAATCAACGGTTGATGATATTACCTATAAATAATATCCTTGGCTTCTGTTTGGCACTGGGATCGTCATTTCTGTTCTTTGTTTTTCTCTCTGCCTTCTGGAACCTTCTGTTCTTCGTCTTTGTGACTCTGCCTTCTTCTCTTTGTGAGATTTCTGGTTGATTATCTTTGTGATAATCGTGTTCTTGTGTGATTCTACTTTGTGTGAGTGATCGTTTGAAGGTAGGCAGTCCTTGTTTTGGTTTCCAGTGAAGTGACCTTGATGTGTTGGGTTGTGAGGGCTTGTGTTTGAGTCTCGGTGCCTCTGTGATGGTGAAAGGGGCGTGGTCTGAGCCTACAATTGAAAGATCTAAACCTTGATGTTGTGGTTTAGGGTTCTTGATGTAATCTGCAGTTTTCATATTATCTTGAATGTTTTACGGATCCTATTTTTAATAGTGGTATTAGAGCTGTTGGCGTTCGTTCTTGAGTCTTCGATTGAAGGTTGAACACTGGAAAATTAATTTCCAGGTGTTCGACCGTAGATCGCGAAACCCTAGTTTTGATTTTGTGTCGACCTAGTGGTCTGTGGTGTTGTTTTGAATCTGGACTGTGGAATGCGAGGGATTTTCTGTGAATCCTCGATGTGATCTGTAAAAGATCCATAAGACCGAGATCCTGTGGGTTCATTTTGTGCTGGAACCCTAATTGTTTGGAGCTACCAGGCCTTGAAACTGGAGGAACTTGAATCTGTAAGGGCACGTTTTGTGCCTTGGTGACCTGTAGTGAATTCATCCTTGCTACAATAATTTGTTCTTGATTTCAGCTGGTGGTTAAATTGCTTAACCACCCTCGATTTGCACTTCTTGAGCCCTATATGACTGCACACTCACTAAACACTCCTTTTATGTATATATGCCTCTATGTTGATATGTACAATTACTGCATATTGTAACCTGTTACATTAGTTTGTGATATCTTGTTATATTTGCCGGTGATCAATTAAGTTTGGGAGATTCAAATTGAGACTTGACCTGAGAACTTGATTCTCACGGAATCCTGGTGAATTTGATCAACCCTAGGTCCTGCATATATTGATTCTTTAATCCTGAGATATAGTTTTTGCCTGCATTGTTGTATTTTTCTGGTTCTTGTGGTGTTTACACTAGAATATCTAATGATCCTGCTATTGATTGAAACTATTTGTGAATAAAATAATTGTGGATCATTTATTTGACTGCATATTACTTTATATGATCTAAAACATAATTTTTTTGCGAAGGTCAATTTCAACAGTTTTTCAAAGTTGATTTTCTTTTCTGTTATAATTTGTGAAAATACTGTGTTAGTTTTTCACAATAAAACATGACAAAATCTTTTGAACTTGGTGTTTTTGATGGAAAAGGGGATTTTCCCATTTGGCAACCAAAAATGCGAGGTGTTTTAGTTCAGCAAAAAGTTTCTAAAGTAATAACAGATGAATTTCCTGATACCATGACAGATGATCAAAAGGAAGAATCTGATGAACTTGCTTATACCTCCATTATTTTGCATTTATCTCATCAAGTTTTAAGAAAAGTAGGCAAACATGATACTGCTAAGGCCTTATGGGATGAATTAGAGAAGCTTTACCTACCTAAGTCTTTGCCTAATAAGTTGTTTCTATTAGAGAAATTTTTTGGTTTTAGGATAGATCCAACTAGAGACTTAGAAGACAGCTTAGACATTTTTAATAAGTTAGTTCAAGACATTATTAATACAGGTGAGAAAGTTTCTGAAGAGTATAAGGCTGTAGTACTACTTAATGCTATACCTGAAGCCTACAAAGAGGTTAAAGCCGCCATTAAGTATGGTAGAGATACTCTTACACCTGATATTATCATAGAGTCTTTAAGGAGTAAGGAACTTGAACTTAAGTCTGAGAGAGGTAATAGTGGCCATGAGAACTTTTTTGCTAGAGGGAGGACTTTAAGTAGGTCTAGTAGTACTCAGGAAAGCCATAATAATCAGGGAAATAACAGTAGGAGAAAGTTTAAAAGTAGAGGCAGTTCTAAGTCAAAGACTAGGACTAAAAAGTGTTATGGGTGTGGGAAATATGGACATTTTATTAAAGATTGCTATAAGAAGAAAAATGAACAGAAACAAAAGGGTGTTGATGAAGGTAATGTGGTAGAATCTGAAGGTTCTGCCACAGTTGATGTATATGCTGTGACTGAAAATTTACCTAGCTCTGCAAATGTTGTTGATGAGAATCAGAACCAAGAATGGATCTTGGATTCTGGATGTACCTTCCATATGACCTTTAAAAGGGTATATTTAGACAATTTTAAGAAAATTGATGGAGGAAAAGTAGTTATAGGCAATAATGTAGCCTGCAGAGTTGAGGGAGTTGGGAATGTCACTTTGAAATTCGATAACGGATACATTTACACTCTTGAAAGGGTGAGATATGTTCCTGAATTGAATAGGAATCTGATTTCCATGGGAAATCTAGATGATATGGGATTGCAAGGAAAAATAGGAGATGGTTTCTTGAAAGTGATAAAAGGATCACTTGTTATTTTTAAAGGTGTTAAAAGAAATGGAATTTATGTGATTAAAGCTAGTACAGTGTTTGATCGCATAGGTGAGTCTTCTAGTGTAGAAGTTGATGCTACCTTAAAGTGGCACAAGAGATTGGCCCATATAGGTGAAAAGGGCCTACACATCCTTTATAAGAAAGGTGTGTTTGGGAAGGACTCTATATCTAAGGTGTCTTTTTGTGAAAACTGCACCTTAGGAAAACAACATAGGCTGCATTTTAACAAAGGAAAACATAGAACCACCTCTATCCTTGAGTATATACATGTTGATTTATGGGGAACCACCTCTATCCTTGAGTATATACATGCTGATTTATGGGGGCCTTCATCCACTGTTACTCAAGGAGGAAATAAATATTTCTTGTCCTTGATTGATGACTATTCTAGGAAGGTTTGGGTTTATTTGTTGAAATACAAATTTGAAACTCTTGATAAATTCAGAACTTGGAAGACTCTGGTGGAAAATGAGATTGGGAAGAAAATTAAGATCCTTAGGACTGATAATGGCCTTGAGTTTTGCAATGCTGAATTTGATCAGTTGTACAAAGAATCTGGTATTAAAAGGCATAAAACTGTACCTTATACACCTCAGCAGAATGGAGTGGCTGAGAGGATGAATAGAACCTTACTAGATAAGGTTAGGTGCATGTTGATAGGTTCAGGTGTCCCTAAGGTGTTATGGGGTGAAGCTATAATGACAGCTTCATATATTGTTAATAGGACCCCCTCAAGTGCTCTAGGAGATAAAACCCTTGAAGAGCTATGGACAGGACATGTTCCGATTATTCACATTTAAGAATCTTTGGTTGTGCCGCCTATTCCCATCAAAGTATAGGAAAACTTGAACCTAGAGCCCAGAAATGTGTTTTCTTGGGATATCTTGATGGGGTTAAAGGTTATAGGCTATGGAGTAAAGAAGTAAAAGGTTTTAGAATCATCACCAGCAGAGATGTTACCTTTGATGAGTCAAAGATGCCTTGTTTAGATAATAAAGAACCAAAAGGGCTACCTGGTGATGAAAGAGGTAATGATACCAAGTTGCAGGTGGAGCTTGGTTTACCTACTGAACCTGTTAGTGATGAACAGGTAGATGAAGAAGCTGAAATAGCTTCTGATCCTCAAGAAAATGAAGAGGAAAATGTTCAAGAAAATCTGGAAAGCCAGCCTGATGAATTGGGAGATTACCAATTAACTAGAGATAGGACTAGGAGAGAAGTAAGAGAGCCTGTTAGGTATGGAGATTACCTTTCACTTGCTGTCTTGTCCTATCATGACTTAGTGTTTAAAGAACCAAAATCTTATGAAGAGGCAATGAGCTGCAAGCAGTCTGAGAACTGGCATGCTGTTATGATAGATGAGATGGACTCCTTAATGAAAAATGAGACTTGGACTTTAGTTCGAAAACCTGCAGGTAAGACCCTTGTTGATTGCAAGTGGATCTTTAGTGTTAAGGAGGGAAATACTGAAAAGGTGCCCATAAGATTTAAGGCTAGACTTGTAGCGAAAGGATTTACGCAAAAAGAGGGCATAGATTATAATAAGATATTTTCACCTGTGATAAAGTACACAACAATTAGAGTTATGCTTGCCCTTGTTGCTCATTATGATATTGAACTTGAAAAAATGGATGTGAAAACTGCTTTCTTGCATGGTGACCTTGATGAAGTGATTTATATGAGACAGCCACCTGGTTTTATTGATGAAACTAAATATGATCATGTGTGTCTATTAAAAAGGTCATTATATGGTTTAAAGCAATCTCCACGACAATGGTACAAAAGGTTTGATAATTTTGTATCTACTATTGGTTTCATAAGAAGTGAATATGACCATTGTCTTTACTTTAAAAGAAATGATGAAAATGCTATTGCTGCATTTATAATTCTTTATGTGGATGATATGTTGCTGACTGGTCAGAATATGCATGTTATTAATCAGATAAAACAGTCTTTAAGTGCT